ATGAGAGTGAGAAACATGACAGATTAAGGTGACTTGTGAGATCACGAACAGAGATGGTGACAATAGTAAAGATCTGCTGTGGTTTACTTTAGATGTTGGTTGGTTCCCAGCATGCACATGATGTTGGAGTTGTGTTGATCCAGCTTTGGATCAGCATTATCAATGTTGTGTATCTGTTGGGACAAGTTGCTCACTCACATGTAAAATTTGCATGAGCGAGGTTGTTAGCTGGTTTTATGTTGCTTATCCGAAGTTGTCGTTGAACCGTGTTCACGCTTACTATGGTTCATTTTCTACTTCTGTCCGCTCGCTCTGTTGAAATCACCAAAGATATTTGGAGTGAGTCTTGGTAAATGTTTTTCATAATTTCAGATTACTGATCAGCCTAACAAGTATAATAAAATTTATTTTTATTATGTGAGTAAAACTAGATGTTTGGAGGAGCTTTAGTGGTAATATTTATTGTTGGTGCACTTTGCTGCCTAGTTATGGACTCGCTTTCAAAATTAGTGTCTGTGCTGTGTTCTCAAGCAACAGTATGTAACTTCATTCCTTTCAAGTTTTGCACTATCACAAGAATGTGTAGAGCAAAATTAATCCAGATTCTTCCAGTAAAATATATATAACAGTATAAAGGTCAGTAGTGCTCTTGAAAGATGTTTTATGCACTAAGGTTTAACTATGACTTAATGGATCTCAAATGCTTAAATAATGATTCTTAATATTATATGGTTACTAGAAAGCAAATATATTCATGTTTTGACTAACTTCAACCTATATTTTGTTATATTGTATTGTTTAATACTTTATTAAACAGATAACCACTAATGGGACACTAGTCTATGAACCACAAAAACACTTATGATTCATTTCTAATGAATGAATTACTAATGACATATGTGCATGTCAGTGTGTAATTGAAAATTTATAATTACAGGTAACTACAATATTTGTTCTTAAATGCTTTTTAGTCTGTCATTGGTTTTTCACATACTGCCTCCTCCGGGAGTCTGGTCTAAGGTCAACAACTATGATTTTCAAGAAATGGTTTCTTGTTGTCAAGAACAGAAAGGCTGTTAGGTTGACCAAGGTCCCCCTAAACCAACTACTCACCTTTCCCTTGATGTAATCCACAATAGTTGTCTAACACCCAGGTACCTATTTACTGCTATGTGAACACACACATTAGGTAAAGGAAACAGTGTCCAAACACTTCTGTCCTGCCACAGGACAGAAAAAACTAGGTGAATACAAGAATTGAATCCAGAACCTTATGGCTATGATATGACTGCAGTTAGTGCCACTGTGTGTTCTGTAGTTTGGGCACGTTTCCTTACACCCACTGCCTCTGCTCACCTAGCAGTAAATAGGTACCTGCGAGTTATGGAACTGTTATGAGTTGCATACTGTGGAATGCAAGATATTGACATAGGCAGACCTTAACACTTTCGCGCCCCCTTCGATGGTAAAAAAAAAAGCGGTATGTGCGGGGAGCGTTTTTGCTGAGTAAGCGTAAAACCAAAAATGTGTATACTCTTTTTACTCTCCTTACCTTAGTTCTTGAGCTACGTATTTCATTTTGGTACCAACGTGTTCGCAATAAAATTCTCTAGAAGAACATCAGTAAAAAAAAGTCACGAAACGTATAGGGATACCAGCACCAAATAAATAACTACGAAGATGACTCGCCGTGAGCGCCCAACAGCAACAAAATGTTTTTACTCTTGGGATTGTTATCACCTCCACACTTGTCCTACAGCGTTAATTTTGGTATCAATGGACTCGCAATGAAATTCCCAACACGGTGATATGAATATAAGCGTAGAATAATGATTGCGGCCCGCCCGCAAGAGTGTGGGAAGTGGTGAAATTGTTACCCGGTATCGGTGACGGGACGACGCACGGCGCTTTGAAAGTTTATACTTATTTCACTCTCATGACATTAATTTTCTATGTACGTCATTCATTTTTGTGTCAATGTGTTCGCAATAGAATGTTCTATGAGCCCGTAGGTAAAAAAGATCAACAAAGCGTAAGATAGAATAGCGCCAAATATAAAACAACGCTGGAACATATCAGTGAGCGTCAAACACACACGAAATGTTTTTACTTTTGTTATGTTTGTCAAGTTTATACTTGTTGCACACAGTTATTTTTGGTTGTACATTGATCGGAATAAAATTCCCTAAACAGACATATGCATATAATACATGATATGGGGGAAGCATTACCAGTATAAACGGCTAAAGTCACCCACCTGCAACCCGTTTGGGACATAATACCATTTGATCGAAGTGGTCCACACCTTTCATGAACTTATTGTACCATGCAGCCTAGTGGTGAGAAAGAGAGCCTCATGGCGCGCAGTTTGAAACAAACCCAAAGTAAATCGGATAAAAATTGAATTTTATACAAATATTTTAAAAGAGGACATAACTTTATGTCCACTATGCGGGAGCGGTTAGCGAAACAGGACTCCTCGGTGGTTAGTCCTTTCTGCCCCTAACAATGGGAACCCATTTAGCGCGAAAGTGTTAATCATTTTTCTTTGTCCTGGATTCCAGCCTAGGTTTGTTGGGATTTAGCCACAACTCTGGTGCTTTTCCTGACTTTAGGAACATTAATAACCAGTGTCGCAGCATTTGCACACTGTTGGACCTAAATTGATGTACACTGAGGACATCTTTGTCTTGGTCATATTAGTGGCTCGGTCATTCATTAATTGCTTGTGCTTAACCTGATAGTGTTGATAGGGCAAGTCAGTCAGCTTTACCATTGATGCTATGTTGTATGTCTTAATATTTTGTCTTCAGTTGATCCAAGATTCAGTTCTTTCTCAGCATGTATATGATGCTGGAGTGATGTTGATCCAATATTGGAATAACATTGGCATTTGCCCAAAGTTATTACAGTGTCTTGTGCATGCTTTTCAATCCCCCTTTCTCTCTCCACATGGATTTAAGTTTGCATATACAGTAACTCTACACAGTATGCCAGTGTGTGAGGTGCATGCACACTTATCCTCCAGTTACAGACTGGATCATCATCACTTTCATTTTATGTGAGAGTTCGAATATTTGTTCCAGCCGCATTGTGGCTCATTCTCTTCTTATTCTACTGTTTTCACTACCTTCTAATCCTAAATTAACAAAATTAAAATACTCTTTGTACTCACAAATGTGCTTGTATATGTACTCGCGTATACTGAGTACATCTTTTTGAGTCCCAAAAAGTCCAATAATTATAATATTAGTGGCAATATACATCCAATAGTATGTATATTGCCACTAATATCCCTATTACTGTAATGGCTAATCGATATACTTATGTAAAAAAATCAAAGTGAACTGAAACATTACTTGTCTTGATTGGCTCGAAAAACTTGTAGAGCGAGGAACAGTGTCACTGTATCTCCTATCACTGATGACATCTCTTATCACCGAGGTTTCCTTCATCTTAAACTGTGTTATTAATCGTCACTTACTGCATCTGGTATGCTTATTGTCAACTCTTTTGTACTGCGGGGTAGTTTGTAGTCAATTCAATCTCAAGTCTTTTAAATAATATGTATACTGTATTTTTAATTTGTGAACTATTAATGTATGTCTTTTATTCCTAACTGTAGTCGTTCTCATGTTTATGCATTAGGAATACAGTGTTTGTTGTATTCAGAGTTCTTAAAAATGTTGTTTTCACATATTTAACTATACATGAAAATGTATCCCAAGAAATAATTACAATTTCACTTCACTTTTTTCAGAATAATCTTGAGAACATTTTAACAAATTTTGTTTTCAGATAATGTGGCTGAGAAACCAGAAAAGGTTTTGCTGGGATCTCTCATGGCCATTAATTTGTACACGTAACAGTGCATGCTGCAGACACCTGTAAACACACTCCTGGCTGGGGTACAACACACACACACACACACACAAAACTAACACACACACACACACACACACACACACACACACACATATATATTCACGGTACTGTAGTTAAGTGTCTTCTCAATTGTGGGGGTGTAATACAAAATCACAGCTCTGATGCCTAAGCTTTTACTACATTACCACTATACTATTTATAGCATAGTATAGTACTAGAACAGTAATTTCTACTGTATTTCTATTGTATTTCTACTGCTTATACTCTTACACTACAGTATTATAAACTAGTACCAATATATAACTACTATACAACAATTACTTATACTACTACATACAGTACTACTATTATACTGATACTAGTATTACTATTACTGTTATACTATTACAGTATTTCTTATACACTACTACTACTACTATACAACTTCTACTGCTATTACTCCTACTACTACACTACTGTAGGTGGTCACTAAATAATATTACAAGGCCTACTCAACACTATTACCACAAATACACAAAAGATAGGTTCTATATTTAACTGCAAAACTAGTTTGTGAATTCTGTCATCATATAAATTTTGGGATTTAGGTCTAAATACTGGAACTGATTAGATTATTCAGAAACATGTTTTACCCAGAACCTGATCTGCAAATTGTTTTATATCCATGTTCCCACATGTTGGCGAGTGCACTGGAGTGGAGTTGAGAAACGGTGCCCAGTTGTTCCACCTTGCCTAGAATTCAATCCCAAGTCCACTCCATTATGAAGCAAATGTACTTACTGGACTTGAGAAGGGTGTTCTAGCTTCATATCTATCCTTGTTTTGAGATCAAAGGCACTCTTAAACTTCATCTTCAGTTAGTGTTTCTTTAACTGTTGATATAGCAATGCTGTCTAACTGGTTGTGAAATGTGTTTAAACTGCACACAAGACTGGATCGGAGAAATGCCCCAGCCCTAATAACTGTTAAAAGATATACTGTATCTCATAACAACAGCATTTAAAGACCCTCATACTCAGTGGAGTGTGATTTGTGGCATATTCCATATACTGTACATTATTCGTATATTTTTTATCATTAGGAAAGATTAATCGCCTGAAATTGTTCTTCAACAGCTGTGCCTTGGCCTAAAGAACGCCCAAGAGACCTGCGGCTTCAAATTACCAATGTAACTGGGTCACCTACCCATGATTCCCCAAAGATCACATCCCCACTTCCTCATATAATGTCTCACAACTCTAATGTGGAGTGCAGAACATCTCCAGAAAAACGCATGACTCCGGAGAAGAGAAAAATTCGTGGAAGCAGCACGGAAGAGAACGAGGAGAAGAGAAGAAGTTGCGAGGCAGAGACCCACCAGTGGACTCCACCCAGACAGCCAATCAGCATCGGCTCAGGTGGGTCATTGGAAGTCAATATTTTTATACTGTGTTAGTGCTTTGAGAATGAGAAAAGCAATAGGATCAAATGTTTCATAAATTAGCAATTTCGCAATGTAGGTTCACTGTCAGAAATACACACAGTGCTGTAGTTGTCTTAAGATGTAATACACTGTTTTATTTATAGTAGCATCTTTGATGGCGCCACCTATGAGACGTAGCTGTACTCTGAGGTTTTTTTTTTTTTTTAATAAAGAAAAACTAAATATTTTACATGTTTTAGTTAGGGTAAATGTTGGATGAATGTGAATGAAATGATAAAAGTGCAAGCTTAAGTTTACTTAACATCCACTCTCTTCACAATACTTGAATGTTTGGTAAGTTAATAAATAATAATATTGTGTGGATTTATTACACAGAGAACTAATTAATTAGAAAGGCTAGTTAATGTTTAATATCTAATCATATATGTTATACTATAATTCTTTATGCATCAGAAATAACTACTTAATGTTTAGATTTGCAACAACAACAGGTTCAGTACATGGTGGTGGGTTAGTTTAAACTTTTGACAAGAATGAATTTACTCGCCTTCAATAAGAAAAACAGTTGAGGCAAATTAATATAAAAAACTTGGAATATATTCCCATCAGGACATTGATCTGCCCTTTTTAGTTTAATACTTTTCTAATTTTAATTCAGCCTCATAAATATTGCTTTCAAAATATTAGCAGACGGGCTGCCTATCTCCTAGTCCTGAACCTGTTCTAGATATGTGTTCAGTCATCATAACCCCCAAGTCTTTTTCCTGTTGGTGCTGGGAATAGGTCTAGTGTCCCTGGAGCGTGGGAAAAGGGACCAACCTCGAACCCTCAGGTAGGCCAGTTGGTCTTGCTAATGGCTCAGACTTTGGCAAGGTAGATTCAATTCAGCAGCAGTCAGTGTATTTTTTATAATATGGGCGACTTGCATGCTATTTTATGTAAATATCTAAAAGATGTTTACAATTTTGACTTCCTATTTTAACATTACCTTGAGGTGGTTTTGTGAATGTCCCCACAAATATGTTAAAGATTCATAATACCCATAATTTCAAAAGGAATGTCTGGAATACATTAGTCTCTTAATTAAAAAAGTTGAAGCAAGAACTGACTCTACCTTGCACAAGTAAAGACACGTAGAATTTGGCACAGGTACATGGCAACATTGCAGATGGGACATGCCTTCTCCACTCTTTTGGTTTGATGTGTGCATCGTTGCTCTGATGGCTCAGCACTTAGCTAACCTGATGCCAGGGTATGCGGGACATCTTAACCTTAGCATTGGTCACTTGTCATAATTGACCAGTATTTCCATAACTGAGAACCCAGTTACAACATTTTAATTTAGATTACTTATGTATTCTTAATACTTTTTATTTATGTTAGTAATTCAGTTAACCATTACATGAAGCTCTTTGTACATGCACAATCAAAATATATATATATGCAGAACTATAAAATCAAATTAAACACGTTACCAATATCAAGACCTATTGAACACTGTTCCAGCTTTTAAGACCTATTCCTCAGAAGTTCCATCATCCAAAACTTTGGTATGCAGGACACACAACATTACATCTTACATCAGATTAATATGGTTGACTAATTCAAGTACAGTATTGTATAAAAGTTATTAATACTGTATTTGACATGATAAATCTCCATAAAAACCAACATTATTTATAATTGTCAAGTTACATCCTTCATTTCAAACCAAATTGGCTTGTTCCTTAGTTTATTTTTGAGGTAATTAGTTGTTTTTATATTTTGGTCATAAATAACTGAAATTCATATTAAATTTCACCTTTATAGTGTGCTGTTGAAAATTCACTTTAAAATGAATTCAGCTTTGTGTCTTCTCTTGAGATTAACTCGCACCTTGCCTACAGTGTTACCAGTACAACAATAGCCCCATCGTCGTGGGGCTAGTCCCACTGTTGTATCGAATTCTCAGTTAGCAAACCTGATAAAATACATAGAAATCCATCATGTGTCACAGAAATAATGTGAACAGCTTGGGTACAGCATCTGCAATAGTGGCAGCAAACCACAAAGCAACAGTTAATTGGTCCTATGACAAGACCCAGACCCCCAACATAATTACTCAACCAAGATTTCTTGCACAATATAGACTAAGAATATCAACCAACCTGAGGTGCACCTTGTGGTCCAGCAACACAAGCAATGCAGACAACTTAGGCACTAGGACATGGAGCCGACACATCCCAGTATTGCACATCACAGCTGACACATGTAGTAAATGAGTAAATAATGAGAAGTAAATGAAATATATGTCAAGTTTTGTGAAATATATGATAAAGGCACAACAAAATTTATACCAAAACCGATGCAGAACTAGGAAACAGGATTGGTTCAACAGAAATTGCGAGAGGACCAGAGACCAAAAGTCGCAAAAATAGAATCAATATGGGAAAAGGCCAAATCCCCAAACATACCAGTGATATAAAGATGCGAAAAACAACTACACAGCAATGAGGAGAGAGGCAGAAAGAAATTTTGAAAAAAGGATAGTGGACAAATTTACAATAGAACCAGGCTTCTTCTATAAATTCATAAACAACAAATTGCAGGTAAAGGATAATATTCAGAGGTTGAAAATGGGAAACAGATTCAAGGAAAATGAAAAGGAAATGTGTGAAACATTAAACAAAAATTTCCAAAGTGTGTTGTACAAAATGAAATCTTTAGGGAACCAGACACCATAAGAATTCCAGAGAACAACATAGAGCACATAGAGGTGTCTAGAGATGAAGTGGAAAAAATGCTGAAGGAGCTAAGTAAGATCAAAGCAGTTGGTCCAGATGGAGTTTCACCATAGGTTCTGAGAGAATGTGCACCTGAGCTCAGCATTCCACTTCAACTGATTTTTCAAGCATCCCTGTGTACAGGTGTTGTAGCTGATGTGTGGAAAAAGGCTAACATGTTCCAATCTACAAAAGTGGCAGCAGGGAAGACCCCCCCCCCCTTCAATTATAGACCTGTATCATTGACAAGTGTAATAGTCAAAATATTGGAAAAAATAATTATAACTAAATGAGTAGAACACCTGGAGAAAAACTATATAATATCAGACAGACAGTATGATTTCGATATGGAAGATTCTGTGTAACAAATTTACTGTTTCTATGATCGAGCCACAGAGATTTTATAGGAAAGAGATGGTTCGGTTGACTGCATATATCTGGACCTAAAAATAGGCTTTTGACAGAGTTCTGCATAAGAGGTTGTTCTGGAAACTGGAACATATTGGAGGGGTAACAGGTACCCCTCCTACCTGTACCTGTACTCAGTAGGAAGTATTTCTACTGAATACAGGTAAGCTTCTAACATGGATGAAAATTTTTCTGATAGAAAAATGTGGGCAGTAATCAGAGGCAATGTATCAGACTGGAGAAATATCACAAATGGAGTACCACAGGGTTCAGTTCTTGCACCGGTAATGTTAATTGTCTACATTAACAATCTACCAGATTGAATACAGAATTATATGAACATGTTTGCTGATGATGCTAAGATAATAGGGAAGATAAGAAACTTAGATGATTGCCATACCCTTCAAAAAGACCTGGACAAAATAAGTATATGGAGCTTCACTTGACACATGAAATTTAATGTGAATAAATGCCATGTTATGAAATGTGGAATAGAACAGACCCCACACAACCTATAAAGTATGTGAGAAATCTTTAAAGAATTCTGATAAAGAAAGATCTAGGGGTGGTTCTAGACAGAAAACTATCACCTGAGGACCATAAAAAGATCATTGTGCGAGGAGCCTATGCTACACTTTCTAACTTCAGAATTGCTTTTAAACACATGGATGGAGAAATACTAAAGAAATTGTTCACAACTTTTGTTAGACCAAAGTTGGAATATGCAGCGGTTGTATCGTGCCCATATCTTAAGAAGCACATCAACAAACTAGAAAAGGTGCAAAGACATACCTCTTCTTTGGCAAAGAGCCAAAGAAGTGGCTTTCAGAACTGAAGGGCAAGAGCTACGAGAAGAGGCTAGTGGCATTAATATGCAAAAACTAGAAACAAAAAGAAAAAGAGGCAATTTGATCACTACATACAAAATAGTAACAGGAATTGATAAAATTGATAGAGAAGAATTCCCGAGATCTGGAACTTCAAGAACAAGAGGTCATAGATTTAAACTAACGAAACAAAGCTGCCGGAGAAATATAAGAAAATTCTCTTTTGTAAACAGAGTGGTAGACAGTTGGAACAAGTTAGGTGAGAAGGTGGTGGAGGCCAAGACCGTCAGTAATTTCAAAGCATTATATGACAAAGAGTGCTGGGAAGACGGGACACTAGAGCGTAGCTCTCATCCTGTAATTACACTTAGGTAATTGCCAAGCATATTAATGAGTTAGCAGACCCCCCAGGTTGTCTGGCATCTGGTGGCAGGCAATTGTTTGTAGGCAGTGATTTTGCAGCAGTTACATTTGCTTACATCTTTTTCATCAGTTACAAATCTCGCCAAACAGTTGTTGATTTTGTAAGATTTTTAGCTTTCTGGTGGACTTTTTCTCAGTTCTGTTTATGATCTCTGATAAGGTAAGCCAGATTATATTCCTTGTTCCTGGTATGTGGTCATGGGTCACAGACTCCTGGTGTGTTTCCAAAGGTTTGAACACTTCCAGGTTGTAACATTCAGACCGAACATTCTGAATGATGGTTGTAACATTCGTGTCATCAGGTTCGAACTCTCATCACAGCCCTTGTGGATTTGTTCATTTGATGCATCGCACTATTGGGATTTCTGTGTGTATTCAGACCTACTGGTGGGACTTCCCAGAAAATATTTAACTGAAGTCATTTGTGTCTGCTGCCATGATGGTACATGTTTCTGATTAAGTTCAGTCTTGAAAGAGGTGGTTGTGTTGTGACAGGTTGGGACAATAAGCACACAATATAGTAACCAGATGTATATTTATTGTAAATGGTTACA